GTTTTTAATGTTTTGTGAGTGTTAGAGCTTTTTGCTAACAAAATGTGTCATTTTGTCTGCCAACTTTCTGTTTAGGCCTTTGTGTGAACTGTTTCGAAAATGTAACTCATGCATTCAATGTGTTCAAGCAAATAGAAATATAAAATAAAAAATAAGACTGATAAAAACAATGGTATATATTTTCCAGACAATGTTTCAATCTCCGTCAGACTGACACTCTATTTACTCTGATTTCCAATAGACTTGCACCTACATGTTATGTGTGTGTAACTGTGCTATTTCAACAGAAACAGACTTCCTATATATTATCTTGAAGTATATCTAACTCAAATAGCGTTTTACACCATTACCACATTGTAAGAATAATGTCATGTTAATGCAGCCACCAAGCAGAAGTAAAATGTCAGCCATTCCAGCACAAGTGGGAATCGGTCCCGTTCTGTAACGATCTTTAACAGTATGTTCTGATCAGAATTTCTAAAGAGAAAAATTATAGAGCTCTATAACCTCCTCATTTGTCCATCTTGTTTGAACTGACAGCTCTCAGCCACAGAAGAAAGAAGAAAATCTAAAGAGAGGATGAAAAAGAAAGAGTGGGGGAATATTAAATCAAATTAGAACCAAATGAGCCGAGTGGCACACTGTCCAAAACCACTTTACACCCGGGCCTCTTGAGCATTGCCCTTCTTTTTCCACTAAGACTGGTGATTTTCTCTATGTTCTTTTTTATTCCCTTTGTGCACAGTTCATAAGGATTAGCACTTGGTAACCCCCACTCCCCCTTACACACCAAACCCAACACAATGCTAACTATTACAATGTGTGCTTGCTCATGTATGTGTGTGAGCATGAATATCAAGGAGAAAATCAGACATGCAGACATGAGTTTGTACATGAGTACATGATGTGTATGTGTGTGTGTGTGTGTGTATGTGTGTGTGTGTGTGTGTTAATATATCGACTATGGGAAGGGGAGGCTGGCTTCCCTCCTGACATTGAAGTTAAGACGTCATCCTAAGAGTGCTGTCAGCTCCGAGTTATCCCTGAAGACAGGGTGGCACCAGGCAGAGCAGAGAGGCCTTCAGGGAGCGGGGAGGATTTAAACCTTAGCGTACTGCATAACCACACACATCACAATCAAACACTTACTTGTGTAGTACCAACTGCACTCTTTCAAATTTCAGCTTTTATTTATGAAGTGGATATGGTTTGAGTGCTGAATGCTACATTATACGTTGATGTTTAAGTACTTATGTATAGAGTTTCCTTTCCAGGCGTACTGCGGGGGAACTGTTATGGGAAATAAAAACTGCTTGGCCGACACACATGGCTGCCTCTCTATTGTAGTCAGGGGTTTTGGCAAAAAGTTGGAACAGCCTCTCTGTCACCATAAGAGGATATGGAAATAAAGACTTATTTACTAGCCCCATACTGGAACAGAACCAGTGTCCCTTTACGGCCCAGTATTGACTCTACTGGATGTCTCTCGTGTCCAAGTCATGCACAGGAAACAAGGCAGCAAATATATGCGCCAGTGAGAAACAGATTGATGTTAGGCTTGGTGTATTAGTTTATATATTTAAGTTATGTTTTCATAATGCCAAAAATTCCCTTAGTGACATACAGTATCAGCAGCAGACTGAGGTAAAATCAACTAGGTTCTCAAATGGCTTTTAGAGAACCAGAATTCAAAATTGATTTTTATTCAAAATTCTCTCAATAGAAATCTCACAAGGCAGTCATGTTTATCTAATGATGTCACACATGTATTTTGTAATTAGTAATACTAATCGTTTCCTGGAAAAAAGCAGGCAATCTTAACAGGCAGCATATACCCTCTTATATCCCCTTTAACACTCCCTCTCCCCCCCCTTCTACTCTTTTCTCCACCCATACCCTAGAGCCCATTTACTATGATTACCAATAACAATAACACTGCCATTATCTTTTATTATTGCATTTTCCCAAGGCCCTGCCAGCTCTCACAGACTTTGATAAAGCTACAAAACGGCTCCTGTTTCAAGCTTGTATATGAGCTTGCCTTGGCTCAGAATTCCCTTAATAGTCACAGTTTGTTTGGGTATCTGACTTGAATCAACATAAACGGTAATGGTCCACTAAATAGATAGTAAAGTGTTAAGCCACCTGAGACTGCTTTACAGCAGAGAGCTGTTTCCAACTTGGCATTTAATAAAATCCTTATATCACTTTACTTTAAGTTTTGCTTTAAGGAGTGAAAGGAGGGGGGCAGTACACAGATATATATAATTAAAAAATATATAAAAATTGGTGGGTAACCCAACATTTTTACATTTCACTTTCATTACAGGCAAACAAATTCCACTGATTTCTTCCTTAACTGTTTTACAGCCTCTGTCTCAAGACACAAAAGATTAAGCAGGTACCACACAGGTACAGGTACCTATATCTTACCTAGCTCATCTGTTCTCTCAGCATGTAAAATACATAAAATGCATCACGGTTCTTAAATGAGTCACATCAAAGAAAACGATTCAAGGAAAAAATGGAAATTACTCACAGGTATTTTAGTATTTAATGTAAGATGAAAGATTTTTTTTTGGTCTTTTAAAAAAAATTCATGTTATGGGAGAACTATTGTGTCTCACCAGTGTGTGAACTACCTTGCTGTTACTACAGTGGGTGGGGGGCACTCAAATTAATAATGGTGATTGACAAGGAAAGTTTATTTTATTCTGATGTTTTCTGATCTGAGTTAAAGTGAGTGAGGTCAATGGTATTGCACTGCCAAACTTCAGTGACGCTGACAAGAATAGTATGCATGCTAGTATGTTTATTAATCATATTAGGGATAAATCAGCCAATATAATATTGTGTATAATAGCATATTGTAGAGTTATTATATATTATATTATAATATTCTAGAGATCCCCCAAAATTTCACAAATCATGATTTCGGGAGAGCTCTTGTCTTATGAAGAGAAGCCAAGCTCAACCTGGCTCTCCTGTAGTTCACACCCTGATTGCAACCTAGAGCTGCAATTATTTACCTGTACACGTACAAGTTATAAAGCCAGATTCCAACAACAGTATTTGTATTTGTGATAACAATTACAGAAATATTGAGCAAATCAATAATACAAATTGCCCAGACAGACTACAGGAAGTGGTATAAATGTCGAACAATTTCAAAAATGCAACTGACTCATGGGATGTTTGCAATAGATGCTACTAGCACACATGTTTTCCTTTTGACCGTGTTGATGACTGTGCATTCCAGAGGAGCTGTGCTGGTCTTGTCAGGAGCTGGACCGACCTTGTTTCACCTCCCAGAAGCATGACTCAGCCCTCAACTTTGAATCTCTCCTCCTGGGGTCCCTTGTTTATTATGTCACAAAAGGCCAGTCACACTCCTGTAACGGTGGCTCGCCCCAGAGAAAGTCAGAATCCAGCTGTAGCCGAGCCCCCCTCATCCCTCTCGTAAATGAGCATGTCCAATCTACCCACTGTGTTTCATTAAAACCAGACTACATCAATCAGGGCCTGAACTTTAAAGGCCAGGTCCCCACTCCAGCAACATGGGAGAAAAACATGGACCTGTTAAAGTAGAGGACCTCACACTGCACATACACTCCAACGCTCATACACTTAACACCACATTTCTACTAGCGGACCACACATCGCAACGTCAGTGCGAGACCACACAGTAGGTCTCGTAAGGCCGACAAAAGACCTCATAAGACCTCACACTGGGCCCTAGCATGATTGGATAGGACCTCAGAGAATCCCACACCTGTAACTCCAGAAACCACAAAGTAACTCTACTGAATAGCTACTGTAGTCCCCGCACAGCAATTATAAACCTGGAAACTGTTTAGACCCGTGACTGTTTGGACATTTTTTACTTGACAAAATTAAGTGCAAAGGAAGTGTAAGATCCGCTTTAACCCTGGGATATTTTCCCAATGGTGAGAGAAGTATAAAGGAAGAGCCAAGAATACATAGCAGGAAGCTCAGGGGGGATGGATGGACGGCAGGATGGATGGGTAGATAAACGTGTGGAGGCCAGGCAACAAGACTAAGACTGGGAAGGAGTCCCATGGGTGGGGACGGGAAGGCAGCCTCGTGATGGAAAGCTTTCAAACTCCTTTCATCGGCTGCCTGAGGACTGGAGCTTTACAAGAGCAAGATGAGCCGGCGCCACTGGAGCTGCTTGGCGCTGTTCAACGAAACCCAGACGCAGAGGCAGAGCAGGACCCTATCACCACTCCGCCCACTCTCTGCCCCCGCCCCGAACACCAGCCCCCACTCCTCATCGACCTCAGCCTTGACTTTGTACACAGATACATCATAGCAAGGCTCAGCTCCAGTTGTCACTATGTTGTTAGCCTTTTTTGGATTTCAACTGTGATAGGTGGAAAAATTCTTCTATTTAAAATCCTGCTTCTGATACAAGATTATGAAGTCTTATTTTACCTCATAATCTTCGCAGTCCGAGAACCTAAAAGCAATAAAGATGGGAGTATTGCTACTGCTTCCTGTCATCATTCCCTAATTTGAGAGGAAGTAGTGAAGGCCAAGAACACTATCACAACCTTCCTTTTAAGGCATCATGAAAGAATAAGATTAAAGGTCGAGTGAGTAACATTTAGCAGGCTCTTTTGGCAGAAATGGAATACAATACCCATAGGTATGTTGTCATTAATGTATAATCACCTGAAAACAAGATATGTTGTGTTTTCATTACCTTAGAATGAGCCGTTTTTATCTACAGACGCCACAGGTTGCCTTACTTAGCGGCAGCCATGTTGAACAGCCATGTTTCTACAGTAGCCCAGAATGAACAAACTAATCACTGACTCTAGGTGGGGCCATTCACATTTTTTGCGCATTTTGTGGCCACCGTAGTTTCTCCTTGGAAAGGGTGGGGGAAGCACGTTAGTTGCGATCTGAAACTTCACCACTGGATGCCACTAAATCCTACACACTGGACCTTTAAGCAGATTAAGACATGGTCTTACCAGTCCACACTTAGAGATCGTCTCCTGTAGGACGGAGGTCTGTCTGAGGAAGTCTTCTCTGCTTTGGCCACACGCTCTTTGAGGGATAGACGATGGGTAAGTTTGGAAATTCCAGACTCTGACCTTGGGGACAGAATAAGAATATTTGGATCAGAACAAGACTCCTTTGACTGGTTTCAGCACTCAATATAAACAATAATAAGAAGATGAAGAAAACACACAGAGGAACTGATATTTGTACTGTGGGTTTATCACCTACAACACTATATAAATTCCCTATTCTAGTTCAGCCTAGGTTAAATATTGCTGCAGAATACAAATGGCTTTCTCTTATGCTTAAACCTAAACTCAGTTTTGCAGAAATCACAATACTCAGTGGACGTAGTCCATGAACTGATAAACAGTGAAACAATGCTGCAGTTCCCAGAGGAAACATTAGGTTTCAGGGAAAGCCGCATACTTCCTCCCTAATTTTCTCCAAATCTTTTTTACAGATAAAAATGTGAAGTCACACACATTTTAATCTCCTCTACTGGGCTGCCAATGTCCCAGTTCAACTTTTTGCTCAAAATTAAAAACAGGAAATGTAATATTTCTTCCATTCCAGCCCGGGACACATTTGATGAGACTCAGCATTGCAATATTGCTGTGGTAACAGTGGGGACTAATCAAAATGTAATAATATTCTCTATCAAAGAGCCAGGCTCACAAAGGAACATTGCTGGAGCACAGAGTATGTGATGTAAAAATTCTCAAGACTTATTAAGCAATGGTTTATATAAATGCAGCCAAAGTGAATAAAAATCTGTGGATAACATTAAGGTAAGTCAAAGCACTGGAGGAAAAAAAAAAATTATACATGCATAATTGAAGGAATTTCCTACTGGTCTTGCCATGAACACTCTTTTTTTATTTTCACATATTGTGCGAAATCCTTCACTCACCTAATCTCACACACATATGCTGTTTCCATTTCATTATGAAATGATAAAACATTCAAGAAATCAATGGGATCAAGGAATCAAGGAAATGTATGTATCATTATACAACACAAGACTGTTTGCAGTGGCTTCATGCTACACACATAGAAAATGATTACTTGATTGAATGATTATTATAAATTACATTTATAGAAAGAATAACATAGAATATAAATAAAATAAAACAATATATACAGTTATGTAGATACATATTCACGTATACACCCAGCAAAAATAATTCTGCAGTGCATCTTTTGAAATTGTATCTGGGGGAATGTAAACAACAGCAACAAGATAGAGATGGTTTCATCTTCACATAAAATGTTTGACACATAAGAAATAGTGTCCATCAGCTTTGACTGTGTGCATCAAGCACCATCAATGTAAACACAGAGTCCGTCCATCGAGTTAATGGAGCAGGTCTCTATAAAGACATGGGCACAACAATCTCTGATTTCCCATTGTTTGGCCAGTCCCATTTCATTCAGACTGGACATTAGCTAGAAGCAGCCCAATCAAATCCAAACTAGATCAGCATGACTCCAGACCCCGGCTCTCCTCCTGAGGTGACAGCACCCACAGTGGTGGGCTGGTTCTGCCAATCTTGCTGGGCAGATCGCCCCAAGATTCGCTGCTCTTCAATCCAAACCCCATGGTTCCTTTTCCAATGAGTCTATAGGCTATTTCTGTCACAGGTAATACATGTTTCAGCAATAAAACTGAAAACAGATAAAAACTAAAAAAGAAGTTTGAAGGAGCTAGCCAACCGGCTGCAGGTTCTGAGCCATTGCCATAGTCAAAATCTCCTGATCAATTTGAACAATTTTGGCTTAGCCCTTTCACATAAAATGGGTTGAAGAAAAAAAAGGAAACATCATTCAATGATGTTTAAAGGAGCTAACGGCCACTGCATATAAATGTGCAGCCCTAGTCATTCCTAATAATGACTCATACATATTCACATACATACATAGATCTCCACTAAACCTGAGCCAAAAGGCGTTTTAGTCTCCATGGTGAGTTATTTTGGAGACAAACTGTATGGGATGGCTAGACTGGGGAGCACAGACGACTGGGGTGCACCCTGTCAATCAAACATAGAAGTTGTATTTGCCATCACTGTCCTTAGTCTCTGTGAGATGCTGCACAAATAACAGTTCACATAAGGCTTTGATAAAAGAGGGTTGATGAAATCGTACACAATAGTTCATGCTGTTACTTTGATTACTGAACAGTGACATGGATGACTGACAGTGTGGTGATTCGTCCAGTTGCATCTAATTCAATTGCCAAATTGGCATAATGTCACATGCTCATTTTCTGGCATCCTGATGCAGAGGTCTTACAGGACCTTGAATGAGTCATTCTTACGTTCTCATCCAAAAGACTGCTTTACTTCAGAAAGGAGACAAAAGGTCTGAGAGTGTCCTGTCAAGTCTAATGCTTCGATCAAGAGGGATGTTCAGATCTGAGAGAATGATTACTCAAAAAGATGAAATTGGATCAAGACCTTTATTGCATCATGGACTTACGTAAGCGTTCCCATAGGTGTGAATAAAAGACTGCTCTGACCTTGTAAACCAGCTCCAGAGGTTACGGATCCATGCCAACTGGGCTTTCTGCTACCTTGCTTGGAACATGTTTTCCTCTTTTAAAGTGATATAAATATAATTGTCTCGTAATAAAATTGCTTCATTGCCAACATTTTGTTTGATCCTTCTTTCACAATGGGCACAGTCCACATGCTTGACAGCCATTATAAATCAACATTCTCTAAGCACCAAGAAAACAAAAAAACCAAAAGAAAAAAGTGACAAATGAAGAACACTTTTTAATATTAGACAGAATTTTTTACAGAATGATATTATAAATGGCATGACATCAAAGCATCTGACTACAAATAAACCTACGCTATCTATCTAAAATTGGGAAACATTTTCTTCTGATTGAAATAAAACCCTGATAATATTCTCTTATGCTCTACAACAGATTCCTCTTAAGAGCAGCTGTTTCAGTATAAAGTCGCTGCCATAAGCTGAGATGAAAATACACAAGTTCTCTTTCAAAATGACCTCATGCAATGGCTTATCTAGTAGAACAACCCCCAGCCCTACTGCCTTCGTTCCCACTCCTACACCCTCAACTACTGTTTCCTGACCCTACGCCAACTTCTCCAAAGAGTTGGTTGACCTCGAAGACAAAGAGGCATATTTTCCTGTATGAATCACACAAATGGGGTGTGGGATTTTAGTCAGATGGCAGAGCAACCCCTTATTGATGGTATTAAGTTAGGCTGGGCTTCTTCTTCGTCAAGGACTTTTAATTAAATTAGTAGCACTGCACTGTGCATGCCAGCTACTACCAACCATTGATGTTGACGTTACTTAACATAAACTGTAGATTTTGCTGGTCTGACAAATTCCGATTCATAAATAGACTACAGGAGTGATTGGTTTGGATCATCACTAGTTGTTAATAATTGCTTTGGTTTATATAGATCTAATATGTTTGGCCTGTGACCAATAGTTACATTAATAGTTCCTTGTAAAACTTCAAACAAACTTTTGGATCAAACGCATGACACGACACGACCATAGGATGATGACTTCAATGCCATGAAAAGACATAGGATCACGACTTCAAAGACACAGGGGCCAGTGGACATAGAAGAGGACTCAGGGAATCCCTTTGAGGGGTTTAGAGGAAAAATGGACATGCGAAGCAGGTGGGTCTCTGTGGAGGGGATCTGCTGGCAACTGGCTGCCTCTTGGCTCCCTGAGAGCTTCAACCCTGGCTCCGCCCCATGCAGCTGTCCCTGATAACATCATCACAGCAGGCACACTGTGATGATGCAATCCCCTTGGAGGCCCACTCAGGATATCCCGGTCGATTATCCTCTCATCAGAATTATATTTTCCTGGTGTTGATTACTGTTAAAATTTGATTGATTGTTTTTCCTTACAGAACTGAGGCTGGCAAAGGGTTCATCAAGTCAAATCACCAAAAACTTATCTGACCTTGAAGCAATGTGATTCTATATACACACAACAGATGAAGCCACCAGGAAATTGCAAACATAGGAGTCAGCCAGTGCTTAAGACACCTGCCAGGCTGCCCTGTCCCCTTTAGACCTGCAAAGCCAATGTACACAGATCTATGTGTCATTTCAAATATCACACCTCAGCTGCTTTGCCCTACTCTCAATAAACACAGACAATGGCTATTAAATCATTTTAGACCACATGCAGAATGGATCCAGATCACTCACTGAGCAAAGCTGCACAGCATATGTGCACAATGGACAGCAGCTCTGCAGTGGAAGCTTTGTTATCCATCTTCTCACCATCTTTTCTATTTTACTGGGATTCTGTTTGACTTTAAAAAAATTTGTTCCAGTTTGTGTCTTTTATTTACCCATAAGTGCTTAAAGTTGTGGTCCTAGAGATGGCAATGTCTGGCCGTCGAGTCACTATTTGATGGACTGCCATGAAATTTTGTGGTCCTGAGATGATGAAGCCTACCAACTTCGATGATCCCCTGACTTTTCCTTTAGGGCCACCATGAGGTTGACATTTTCGTGAAATGAAATGTCTCAAAAGCTACTGGATGGATTGCCATTAAATTTAGTACAGATATCCATGGCGCCCAGAGGATGAATCCTGATTACTTTGCTGATCCCTATTTATCCATGGGAAATATTTAAACATTTGATGGTTTTTCATAAAGGTTTGTACATTCACAGCTCCCAAATAGCCAAGAAATTTGGTACAAATTTGTTTATGACCAAATACTGGCAAAACTAATGACATTCCCGCTTCTGTGGTTCTTTAAATTTAGTTCCATTAGGAAATGCTAGCATGCTAACTAAAATAAGATGGTATATGCACGGTAAAAGTTACCTGATGTGAGAATGCGACAATGTGACAATGTGAGCATGTCAGCATGCTGACTTGAGCATTTAGTTCATAACACTGGCGTGCCCAAATACAGCCTCAGAGAGCTATTTTAAACCATTTTTTATTATGTTAACCACTTGGAAAGTAACAAAACTGCACAGTATATTTCCTATTGGTTAAGTAGACATAAAAGTCCAATCTCTACCTTTTTCATTTTATACTTTAAGTTTCATAAAATCCCATGACC